ACAAACAAAATTAAAAAACGTGCATGTTGGCCTGAGTTGCTACAGCACACAGCCTCTTGGTCCCTGATTGGTGTGAATCAAGCAGAAGTCATAAAAGCAACTTGTAGAAAATAGGCTTAGAGAGCAGTTTACTCATCTTCCTGCTGCCAGTTGGAGTGTGAGGGGCCAAACTTGAGTGTGCAGTGTGGGAATGGGACTCATCCTAGGACGAGCAACAAGAAGAGAGGAGTACTTCAAGGGGAATAGAAATGGAGTAGCTTCTGGTAGTGAAAGAATGTATATTTGGGGCTGGGAAGATGGCTCAGTGGTAGAGCACTTGCTTTGCATGCATGAGGCCCTGGGTTCGATTCCTCAGCACCACATAAGCAAAAAAAAAAAAAAAAGCAGAAGTGGTGCTGTGGCTCAAGTGGTAGAGCACTAGCCTGGAGCTGAAGAGCTGAGGGACTGGGTCCAGGCCCAGAATTCAGGCCCCACGACCTGTCCCTTGCTCTCCATTCTCTGGGTCATATCCTGATCCTTGCTCTCCCTGCTGATTAACCAGAGACTGTCATCCAGCAGGAACACTTATCAACTCGGTTCTGGTCAGTAAGTCAAAATATGCTGTCACTTGGGGCCTCTCTTTAACAAAGGCCTGGCAGGAGATCTGAAATGACTACTGTTGAAAATGAAGAAGACCTCCTTTGCTCTCTGATCTCACAGCAAAACAATCAGCATAGTGTCCTGGGAACTCCAATGTGTGGGGATTTCTCTCAGGTAGCAAGTAGGAACCCAACTCTGCAGCACACATGGCTGGGTTGTCTTCTAAGTCAATTCCATCATGACCCTATGACCCTGGAGCTAGTGTGACTTCTCCCAGGTTGAAGGCTCATCTCCAAGACACTGTCACTTTGGAAATTACAGGGATTTTAGGTCAATGGGATGAACACCAAATAGACATGTCACAATGTCACCTCTGCATTGTTCTCTCATGGCCAAAAGCACATCCTAAGGCCTCTGAATTTAAAACCAGGCAATAAAGCAAATGGCATTGGTATGCAATGAACTGACTTTGTGTTCCAGTGGCGCCCCTCATTATTCCCAGAGTGAAACATCTCTACAATTGCAGCATCAGGGTGAAGCCTTTGGCACCCTCTCCACACTGGCATACCAGCAGAAGATGTGGCACATCGGTATGGCAGGTAGGTTGTGAAGGAGATATCTATTCCTGGTTAAGTTCTACACTGAAGTTACCATTTCATTTCACTTATTTTTCTTGGTCAGAGATGGGGCTTGAAACTCAGGACATCAATACTGTCCCTGACCTTCTGTGTTCAAGCTAGCACTCTATCATTTGGAGCCACAGTTCAACTTCTGATTTTGTGGTGGTTTACTGGAGATAAGACTCTCAAGGAAGCTGGGCACTGGTGGCTCATGCCTGTAATCCTAGCTACTCAGGAGGCTGAGATCTGAAGATCACCGTTCAAAGCCAGCTCGAGCAAGGAAAGTCCGTGAGACTCTTATCTCCAATACACCACTAGAAAACTGAAAGTGGCACTGTGGCTTAAGCAGTCGAGTGTTCGCCTTGAGCTGAAGAGTCAAGCAATTGAGCCCAAGCCCAGAATTTAGAGTTCAGGCCCCACGACCAAACCAAAAACAAACAAAAAAAAGAGTCTCAGGGACTTTCCTGTCAGGCTCGCTTTGAACTACATCTGACTTTGAACCACATGAACACATATGACTTTCATGTCAGACATGACATGATACTCTGACAGACTGGCATTGCAAGAGCACTAAATATTACAACTATGGAGTTCCCACCACAAAATGAAAGATTCTGTCAACTAGGACTCGCACCAATGTTAATGACACTTAGAAACATTTACAAAATAATTTTCTAAAGGACAAACTCATTTTACAAAGTACATATTGTGTCCTGGGCGCTGGTGGCTGACACCTGTATTCCAATCTTACTGAGGAGGCTGAGTCCTGAGGATTAAGATTTGAAGCCAGCCAGGGTAAGAATTAGTAATGCTTTGTATTAACTCTATGAAAGCTGGCCACCCAGCAATGAGAAACGAATGCTAAGAGGAAGGTATCTACCACTCTCACCAAAAGAAGAAATTAGTTCTAGCCACTTATTTTTTTAAAGAGCCAACATTTTTAACAAGAAAAATTCTGGCTATTCCGTGGGGTAGGGACATACAACACATCAAAGAAATCATCTTATAAATATGTTAGAAACAATGCCAAGAAAGAAAAAAGTTTGAGTCCTTATCTTGGGGCTCATTTCGCCTAACATCAACTTATCTGACCATTTCTGCTTGTTTCAGACATATACTAATTATTGTAAATAAAGGAAACCATGGGACCTATGTTTCTTTGGGCCTGGCTTACTTTACTTACCCCTGTTTTTACTGTATTTGATGTTGATATAACTTGTGTAGGGAAAGCGAAAAAATTGTTTAAATAGGGATACAGGTGGACCCATTGCAACAATGAGATGTACAAGATGCTATGTAGAAAAATGAACTTTACAACTTTGGCGGGAGGTGGGGGGTGCAGGGGAGATGGGAAGGGATGAGAAGGGGAAACAAAGGAGAAGGCAACAATGCTTGATAAGAAATGTACTCATTACCTTGCCCACGTAATTGTAACCCTCTGTACCGTATTTTCACAATTAAAAAAAAAAAGAAAGTAAAACAGATAAAAATAAAATTCTGGCTTTTCACAGTCTTTGGGCTAGTACTCTCATCAGCCAAGTTCCAATCCTAAATGATGACACAATACAATAATATTCTCCACAAAATTCAATAAATGGTGATGGTCAAAACAAAACTGCCCAAACAGAAAACTGGTGGCCAATGTCCCAATGACAATGGAGTGTAAGAAGCCTTGAATCAGAGACCTTGAGACACAGGGGTGGAGAAGACACTGATTCCCCATCTGCAAGTACAAAGCACAAGCTCAGGGAGCTGTTAAGTTGATTTTAGTCTCCACTAAGTTGCAATGCATTAGTTTCTAAATTAAAATGAAATGGCTGCCTTCCATCAAATAATTCTTTGTACACTATACTTGTACATATCTTATGTTCTGATGTTCCATTTTGTTTTCATAAACATATTTACAGTGTTCTGTTACTTAGGTGCACTTATTTAACTATTCTAATACTATGCATTCAGGCCATTCACAATTTTTAAATAAAATTAATGTGGCCATGAGCATTAATGTACAACTATTTTCCTTTCTTGACCAACATCCTATTACTTAGGGATTACTTAAAGTTTACTTAGGTTTTATTCTACTATTGTTCTTTATATCTAATGTCTCTGACTGGACTATTTTTGCTTTGTTCTTCAGGATAACATGAAGTACATCCCATACATTTATATGAATTAGAGCAAAACTATTCACTTATTATTTTTAGATGGCTGCTTGTAAGTTTTCTTTTCTTTTCTATAAGTGCAGAAAACAATTTATTCTGCCCCATTATTTAGGGGGAATATCTGGTAGTGAGTTTTGAACTCAGGGCCTTGATCTTCCTTGGCTTGCATGCTTGTTCAGATGGCACTCTACCACTTGAGCCATACCTCAGGACTGCTTTCTGCTAGTGAATTAGAGATTTAGTTCCACAGACCATTCTGACTTGGTTGTCCTGAAACAATGATCGTCTACATCTCAGCCTCCTGAGTATCTAGGATTGTAGTTGTGAGCTACAGGTATCTGAGTATTTGTCCTCTTCTAAGAAGGGATCCTTATGATGGTTGATTTGACACCAGCCTATCAGGACCCCTTGGATGTGAGCAACCAGAGCCCAGGCACAGGTCTGAGGCTGGAGGGGAAAGACCCCTGTGGGCCCTGTGCTCTAACACTCCTCAGAAATCTCAAGACCATCCTCTGAGCTTTTCCCTGCACCCATCTTACCAGGTGACACCCAGGGATGCCTGGCCACTGAGCTGTAGACAGATTGCCCAGCCTGGACTGCAAATCTCTCAAGGGTGGACAGAGGGGTGAATTTTAAGCCAGGTTTTCATGACTCAAGCAATTCAGTGTCCAAGCATTTGTTTTCCCTGAAGCCTCAATGTTGTATCATCAGTAGTGCTGAACAAGGCATCCCTGAACCTCAGCCTGGGTGCCCATCTAAAACATGGTCCCAGTCCCTTGTGTGCATATATGGTCTCCTGGGGTATCGTACACCCTGGAGTGGAGGTCAGAAGGGAGGAGGGGCCACTTTCTGTCTATATTGCTGTATTCCTCCTAGGAAAGAACACATTAGATGAGTTGATAAAGGTGAGTGGCAGCTGCCTAGACAGAGTGGGCTGGGACTCACAGGGCATCCATTCAGTCCTGTCCTGCTCACCTTTATTACCAAGACTTTAGAGAGGTCTTTTCAATAGGCAGGTTTAGGTAGGAAGAGGGATCAAGAGAGCTTCCTGTGATCAACTATGGGGACACAGCTGTGAGAGCACAGAGCAGCCTGGCTGGACTGAGTGGAGGGTTCCAGAGCCTGCGAAGCTGGTCACCGCCCCCCCCCCCCCCGCCCCGTCTATCGCAGCCCAGCTCTGTCACTACTTCGTTCTCTGCCTGGCCAGGAATATGATAGCATTGAGCGGTGGAAGCAGCTACAAGTGAGCCGAAGTTATGACAATATCATTGTAGAAGAGAATTTTATTGCCTGGTTCAGGAGCCTGGAGAGGCTCAACATAGATGTGGGTTGTGAATGTGTAGAAGAAGTGTGTCTTGGTTGGAAGGACTCAGGGAAGATACTAGGCTCCCATTCAGGATATGTGTGTCTGATGCTGAGACGTCCTCGCTGAGCAGCCCCATCCCTGAGCTGGGAAACCTCAGCATTCTGTGTACTTTTTCATGTCTCTGTGATCCCTCACATAGACCCGGGAAAGGAATAGGGAAACGGCGATTGACCAAGATCCTTTCTCTACTTGTGGTTCATACTATTGGCCCAGAAAAGCCCAGCTCTTACATACAGTTTCTGAAAGCCCCTAGACCGGGCTCCCATACCGGGGCACGCTTTAGTGTCGTGGCTTCCCGACATGTGAGTAGAGCAGCCTCCCAGCCACCTCCTGGGACTTTTAGGATAACTTGAGCCTCCACCAGCCAAATCTTCCCCTCATACTTGAGACCCACACACACACAGGCAACAGCCAGAGCTGTGCTTCAGGGTGAGCATTGATTGCTCCTCTGTGCCTCTGAATAGCAAGCAGGCAGGAGACACCTGTGTCATCGGGGTGAGCCTGCTGAAGGATACTGGGCCTGGGCATAAAGCCTGCAAAAAATCATCATGATTGGTTGAGCAGCATGGCATTCCCTTGGTGTCTTCATCGAGAGAAAGCATCCTGGGCATTGGAGACCATTGGAGATTTGGATTTGTGAAAGTGTGGGTTCTTGATCTGTTCATAGCTTACATGAATGAATAGCAGAAAGTAAAATAAAAACTGATTGGGAAGAAGAGTTTTCGATGTGGAAACTGCCCTTCTTGAACAATGATATGATATTAAAATTCTGGTTTTACTGATGTGTGGTCATTGTGGTTTTATTCTTTCATTTTCATGTTTATAAGACTCTCCCACTTGGTGTGAAATAGGAACTTTGCAGAGTGATGGTGGACATTGGTAGAAGTAGGGAATGCTGCCACTTCTCAACCCTGATGAAGAGAGGGCCTGTCCACGGCAGCACAGAGCAAGTGTTCATTTCAGTTTCACCTATGTCAGGGAACTGCGCTAACATAGCTCCCAAATTCCAGGGATCAGAATTTGAAGACATCATAGAAAGATAAATTGCAAGTCAAATGGTAGAGTAGGTCTTGTCTTTCCTGGGAAACAGCCATCACCTGAGGGCTCTGGCCATTACATTTTGTGGCCTCTAGAAGACCAGAGTTGGTCAACAGGGGAGTGCTTCATGGGGAGAAACACTGCTTCTAAGATTACAGATTGAAGGAATTGTTTGTTGTTTGGTACTGACAAGGGACAATGGAACAGAAATTTTGGTGAGTACACTCAATGAGGAATCCAGGAAGGTGTGATAAAAAGGGTTTGCAAATATCCCCAAGCAAACAAAGAGAGCCTTCAAACAGGGCACTCAATGAATCCGTAAGGATGACAAGTCTGGTTTACAGACCAACCACATTGTAATATTAAATGTTCAGGTCACAACAATTATGAAGCATAGAAAGAGGGGAATGGCTCCTTCATATGCATCAGAGTCTTGCTGAAAATGATCCTCAGAGAAACCCACAAATTAGGCTTACAGGCAAAGATAGCCAATCACCTATTTCAAATATGCTCAGTGACATGACAAATACTAGGAACCCACAGAGTAATGCAGGAAATGGAGAAGCAGACATTTTAGCCAGTGAGGATTTCAGTAAGGAGATAAACCTGATGAACTGGAACAAAACATTATATATGTAGAGATAGAAACTGAAATGAAACCCTCACTAGAGGCATTCAACAGCAGAGTTTAGGAGGCAAAAGCATCTATATTATAAAGAAAAGGGAACTTTTAGGTCATATAAATGTTCAATGTACAAATCACAGAACAAATATTAGGTTTGATAAGTTTTGAATTAGATTAATTAGAAAAAGTACATAAAATTATCATTATAAAGGAATGCATGGCATTCTGTGATATCAGAGAATATATAGATCTGTGAAACCAAATTGTTTCTGTTTTGCTACATTACTATATGTTTAGGATATTTACTGTCATGTCCATTTTACGCAGGAAACAAAAATTATACAAAGCAAGAAAAACAAGAATTTAAATGTTTTACCATATAAATCCTCAAATGAAATGTCATAAAACAACCCATATATACAGTGAACTACTTTCCCCCATATTACAGAGCTTTCCCCTTCTCCTTACTCCCAGATGTCTTCAGCTCCTTCCTTTTATCAAGGTTATATGTGATTCAGCATCCTGCTTGTCTACCAGCTATATTTCTCTGTGTGTGTGTCTGTGTGTCTGTGTGTTTCTGTGTCTGTGTCTGTGTCTGTGTCTGTGTCTGTATCTGTGTCTGTGTGTGTGTCTATGTGGGGGGGGATGTGCTGGTTCTGGACATGTGTGCTGCTGAGCTTTTGGTCTCAAGGCTCACATTCTGCAACTGGAGCCATAGCTCCACTTCTGGCTTTTTTGGTGCTTAATGGATAAGAGTCTCATGGGCTTTCCTGCCCTGCTGGCTTTGAACCACAATCCTCAAACCTCAGCCTTCTAAGAAACTAGGATTACAGATCTGAAACTCTGAGTCAAGCTCTGTCTTCCAGTCTTGTATTTTCCCAGTGCCTTTCTGCAGGCTTTTTCTCCTGTTAATTTTGTATGTTGTCAGTTCATACCATAGCTTTACAAGATCCAGTTTTCAGCCCCCACAGAAACTTTTCACAGTGGTCTGTATTTGTACTGTCCAACTGCTAGCACTGAAGGCTCATCTGAAAACTAAATAGCGAACAAATACGTTTTGCTAGGTACAATAAGTCAAAGATTTTCCTCCCCCATTCCCATCCCATTTTTCTTCCCTTTCTTTAAGTATTTCAACTGATTTGCACTTGCTAGTTCTTCTTGTAATTCCCCCCACTTGAGATGTCCATTTTTGCAATCTTTCAGGCACACATTTCTGAATGACCATGGACTATAATTTTTAAATGTGAAGAAGGTGCCCATCTCTCCCCACCACAGTATTACTTTGGATAAAGAAAGTTAGCAAACACAGCACTTGTCTCTTGGATGGAAAATGGCTTGATCAAAGAAAGCCTTCAGTTTACTCCCTGACCGAGATCTCTTAGAATTGTCCTTTTGGCAGATTCCCAAGCCTTGGTCTTCCTTCATTTGCCCCTGATCAAACTCACCCAGCAGTGTGGAAAAGAGAGCTTTAGACCAAGGCCTCCTGTGATGTCATACTGTTGGTTGACACACTGCTGGTGAAGCCTTCTTACTTCAAGTCAGTCAAAATCAGATTGTTCTCCAACCCCTGCTTTCCATCCCGACTTCTGTCTTCCAAGCCCTGCCCTGCCCCCACACCCAAGTTCACTTTTTCTGCCTAATATTTAAAGAAATCCTAGTTGTAAGGGGTGGGGAGCTACACCATTTCCCTTTAGCTAGGCTGAAGGAGACTGGGTTACCCTTCCCAGGGTTTGCTCCGGAATAAAGAGTGTTAGTTAGTTGGAGTTCACTTTTTTCTGCTCTTTTTCTTTTCTTAAACAACCCAAGCTCACTGTCAAAGATCCGGAAACACTGGAACTGTCAGTTTCCACTTCTCATCTCTGCAAAACCCTTGGAACTGACCTGCCAGGCTGTGAAAAGCACAAGCCACACAAGATGGCCAAGCATAGTTCCTCCAGAGAATCCCCAACAGACATCTGGCATGCCTGCAAGCCATGGAGTGAGCACTGGTCATCCCTGCAGTGAATGCCCAGATGAATACAACTGCAACCACATCATAGGGCACTGAAGACAGGCCCAGCTTAGGCCCGAATACTTACAAAATCGTAAGTGGGTAAGTGAGTTGTAAAATGGACTTTATTGTAAGCCACAAAGTTTTAGGCTTATCCCTGCTGCTTCATTAAATAAGTCAAAAAAGCAGCAAAGCAATCACAAGGAAAGAATCTCTTGGACTCCATGGGGCAGCTGAATTATGCTCTCCCATTCTCTTCCTTTTCCTTCACCCACTTCTTATTCTATTTCCCTCTGTAGAGATTTTGTATCTGTTGGCTTTCTAAATTTCTTTCTTTTTGTGCTTGCATTAGCATATGAGCTCAGGACACTGTCTCTTAGCTTTCTCCCTGATATCTCTACCCTTGGATTTCAGGAGATAAGTGTCAAAGTCTTTTCTGCTGTGCCTCGCTTTAAACCGGCATCCTCAGATCTCAGCCTGTTCAATAACTAAAATTACAGATATGAGGCTCTAGAGCCTTGCTTCCCTACAGATGGCAAGCTAGGCTTTTATGCATAAATATACTAGCATCTTAAGGGGAAAAGTCCATCAGTACTGGCTCATGCATGGAATCATAGCTACTCAGGCTGAGATGTGAGGAAAAAGCTAGCCCAGGCAGGAAAGTCCTAAGATTCTAATTTTAAAACAGTCCTTCAAAAGCTGGAAGTGATAGTTGTATCACACAGGTAAAGTGGTAGCCTAGAGCAATAAAATTCAGGGTACCACCCAAGCTCTGAGTTTCAGTCCCAGGACCTCCATCCTCCTCCATCACAAAATATCAAAGAAAAAAAAGAAAAAAATTGAAAGGAAAAGACTTCTCGTAAATGATGGAAATTTCAAAACATCCACCTAGAGAGGATAACTTTTATCCTACACAAGGGAAAAGACAATTTAATCAACACAGAAATCTCTGTGTATTTTCTATTTTATTATTTTAAAATAAAAATCAGTAGCAAGTTTAGAGAAGACCCAGAAACAGGAGAATAGTGGGCCTATGGATCCTGAGCGAACTTTCTTGATATAGATAGCATTCTATTCCCAGGTAGCCTCCATGCCATTCTACCACACCTACTGTATATATGGTTACCATTCCAAAGTGTTTTGTGACATTGACATTATTGAGCGTTACTCTAATAGCAAAACCAATGGATTTGCTTGTAATTATACAACAGTATTAAAATTATAAAGTATAGCCAGTGCCAAAATTTACTGTCACAAGCATATAGAGTTGAGAACAAAAATATGTGAAGTCTAAAGCCTGACATCCAACACAAAGGACTTCAGTATATAACTAGCATGCAAACATCTAAAATACTGTCAATGTATAAGACTATTCCAACAGATTTCTAGAGGTAATATTGAAGAAAAGGTGGACAGAACTTTATTTTCCAACACAAAATGTTTATTTACTAAAGAACAGAACACAAATGATAAAATGTTGCCAATGCAAAAAATATTTCAACAAATATCTAGGCTGAGAATGAGGGCATGAGAAAACTAGTAAAGTTTGATTTCCAACACAAAATTGTTACTTGTAAGTAGAGCACACTAGACAAACTTTTAAATACCGTAAATACAATACAATATTGTTAACATTTATCTATTGAGAACTGGTTTCCCATGTGATCAGTCCAGGACTCCTGATGCCCAGGAGAAGGGCTCACAATACCTGCATTGGGTAAACAGGTACTGTGTGTTGGGGGTGGGGGAGAGAAGCATTGTTTTCTCAGGAACATCATATCCTGGTTACCAGACCATATATATCAAAGCAGGACTCCAAAATTTAGTAGCCAACATTGTGGCCTTCATATGTCACCATTTTCCACATTTGAATAGCCATGCCTAGGTCTCTAGAGACAGTTGAACCTGACACTGCCAAAAAGCCTCCACAGATAACCCTTCAGTTCATCTGCCAAGGAGTAGCTCGTGTATCACACAGTGCCATGGGACAAGGCTTGGACAATCAAAACCCAGAGAGGCAGATGTTGTCTGTACAGAGGTGGCTGAGTAAAGAGGAGCAAATAGAAGTAGCTCATGGCAACCTACATGCTCCAACATCTTCTGTCCTTGAGGAAGCATCTCTCTGGATCTGCCTGGATGTCTTGAGTCACCCAGTGACCTTTAGGTTCTGAACTTGTAGAGAAAGTTGGTGGTGAACACACTGACTGCTGTGCAGGAGAAAATAGCTGTACCTAGTGGGAAAAAGCAAGGTTCATGGTCATTGCAAGGGATAGAGGCAACAGGAAATGGATGATCACAAAGCAGCCAGATATGGGGATATGGTATCACTGAAAACGGGAGAGGAAGAGACCACTTGTTTAGAGGCAGCCCAAGCAGACAAAGTTTAGGTATGCTTCATTTGTCCCATCCTATAAAATGCTCATCAGACTTACTGCCCAGCAAAGCTCCCCCAACTTGTAGCCCTAGAAAAAATGGAGAGACCCACCTAACCTAGTGTTAGGTGCACTACACAGAAAATCAGAAGAGCAAGTGGCCACTTTGCAGAGCTCTTGTGTTCGCTCTCCAGCCCCACCTGAGTGACGGTTGAAGTAAAGGTATGTGGCTTGTTCTGTCGTGTGACCTCCTTCATCTTTTAGAACTGCCAGCTTCCTCCAGAATGGACAGGTATTAGGAGTTGAGAATGAGTGCTATGTGAGGAATCCATCCGACTTCCAACACCCAAAGGATGACTCTATAATTTAAAGAAGAGTAAGTGAATCTTTAAAATACTGTCACAGATACCTAGAGTAGAGAAAGAAGGTGATGTGAAATATAGAGACCAACTTCCAAGACAAGGGACTGCTAAAGAAGGGTAAGCAACCATTCAATCTACTCTCGATTCAGAAGAATATTGTAACAACTGGATATAGTTGAGAAGGAAGGAAATATAGAATTTAAAGAACAATTTCTAACACAAAAGGTTTACCTATAAACCAGAGACCCATATGTAAAAATTTAAAATACTGCCAGGGCAATGGGGTTAGAAAGGTGGCTCCGTGGTAGAGCTCTTGCCTTGAATACCTCATACCCTGGGTTCGATTCCTCAGCACCATATAAGCAAAAAGAAAAAAAGGCGGAAGTGGCGCTGTGGCTCAAGTGGTAGAGCGCTAGCTTTGAGCTGAAGAGCTGAGGGACAACGCCCAGGCCCAGAGTTCAGGCGCCATGACTGCACTCAAAAAATTAAAATATAAATAAATAAAATAAAATAAAATATTGCCAGGGCAAAAGCATATTATCAGAAATATATAGAGTTGCGAAGAAAAAGAAGACATGATCACAAAACAAAATAGTAAGTGACAATAACTACAGAATAGGATGTAAATGGTAAAATATTCCCAAATGCAGATAATGTTTAACAAATATCTAGATTTGAGAACAAGAGTCTATAAAAACTAGTAAGGTCAAGTTTCCAAAATAGTAGAGTTACTTATAATTATATCATTACATGCAAACTTTAAAAATACTCTAAATGCAAAGAATATTGTAACTAACATCTTCTGTGCATATGAGAGTGAAGGGGAAAAGAAAACTGAGGTCTGACTTCCAAAGGCGGTCAGTCCAGGTCTCCTGATACACACCGGAAGTGCTTGTATATACCTGGGTTTGGGAAGCAAGTAAGGGAATGGGAGGACTATGCTTCCCCTGAAACATCATATCTGGGCTACCAGGCCAAACCCGATAAAATATCATCCCAATATGCAGGAGCCAGCATTGTGGCTTTCACGTAGCACCACATTGCACATTAATGAACCATGTCTAAGATTCAGGAGACAGTTAGTTCTAGCCTTACCAACAAGACTACACATACCATTCAGTTCTCCAAAAGAGCAGCACACTGGAGCATCACACAGTGCCACAGGACCAGGCTTGGACCATCCAAACCAAGAGAGGCACATGTTGTTATCTTGGTACTAGCAGGTGGCTGAGTACAGAGGAGGAAGTTAATTTGATAGTGCCTGCTCCACGAGCTTCTGTCCTAGAGAGAGGGTCTCTCCCTTGCTCAGCCAGGATGTCTTGGGCCACCAGTTCTGCATGGGTAGAGAGGGCTGAGGATGAACACTCAGACTGCTGTGAAGGAGAAAATGGATGTGCACCTATTGGGACAAAACAAGAATAAAGGGTCATTATGAGAGGAAGACACAATTGGGGATGGATTAGGACAAAACAGCAACATAAAAGGGGAAATTTGATCTCAACAAGAGACGGAGGAAGACAATAAGAGCAGATAAAATTAGGAATGCTCCATCTGTCCCACCACATGAAAATCACATGAGAAACCCAACCTGCAGCAAAGCTACCCCATGTTCTAGATCACAGGAAGGTGGAAGAGCCACTGAGCAGGTTCTGCACTACACAGAGACTCAGAAGAGCCAGTGAACAGCATATTCACATTCCTTCAGTTCCCCAGCCTCACCTGGGTGACTGATGAAGTCAGGAATCTGGCTTCTCGCTTCTATCCTGTGACCTCCTGCACATTCTGGAATTGCCCACTTCCTCCAGAAGTGACCAGGCACAGGCTGCTAACTTCCAAGTCGGCCATTTGAAGCCAGAGAACCAGGCTGAGTTTTCTTTGTGCAACTGTAGAGGTTCAGAGCCTCTCCCTAGCAGGTTTTGGGGTCCAGATTCAGACAAGGGGTGGTTGTTGGGGGGAAGAGGTTGGGAGGGGGAAAGGGATTAGTTTTTGCTAGTGTACTGGCATGAGGTTGAAGCCACACCCGTGGCAAGGCATGGGACTGCTGAGCCCCAAGGCCCAACTCCCCTGAAGCCATGGGTGGATTTGAGGTGGCTCCAACAGAGAGGCTGCTGCTGTCCATGGCTTACACACATGGAGACTGGGAAGAAGAATGCTCCAGAAGAGGAGCTAGGGCCTGTGATGGTCCCATTGAGCCCAAAGCCCTGAGGGCCAGCTGAGGCAGCCAAGCTGCCAGATGGAAAGGCGGCCTGAGAGCAGCTGGCAATCCTGCTGCTAATGGTGGGGGTGGGGGTGGGCTGAGAGGTGACCCGACAGCCAGTGGTGGTGAGAGGGGTCTGGGAGGGCTGCATGCTGGCAGGGGCCCAGAAGGTGGAGGCTGGGCCTTTCTGACAGCCCAAAGCAGACAGGACTGAGGAGCCCAAAGCCACCTGGGCCTGTGCTGTGGCCGGCCCTGGCTGAGCAGGTGTGTGTGCGGCCTCATCCTGTCTTGGCATCCATGAGCAGCCAGGGACTGGCTTGTTGTCCCCGCAGGGGAGCTTGGTGTGGCCTTTGGTGTGGATGCGGAGAGTCGGCATGATGCGGGAGGTAGAGGGAAATTGGAAGGCAGGCCTGGCTGTGCGGTTGAAGCTCAAGCTGCCCTCGCTGGTGGTAGAGTCAGGTGAGAGGCTGCGTGGGCTGGGGATGCCCGTAGAGCTAGAGCAGGTGGCTGCTACCGAGCTGGGAGAGCCCTGACGCTTGGAGACATGGCCATGGGAGGGCAGAGACACAGGGGATCTGGGAGTAGAATGCAGCAGAGCCCAAATAATGCCCCGAGGAATATTCAAAGTAGTGGCACAGGCCTGGCCCTGAGCTGGCTCTGAGGCTGAGTGTGAATCTGACTTGCCCGAGGCCACAGTGGGGGTGGCAGTGTCGTGTCCACTGACCTGGTGCATGTTGGTGTCTGCAGCAGCTGGCTGTGTGCAGAGCGGCTCTGAGGGTGGGGCCCCCACGCTGCCCTCCACAGGCTTGGTGGCTGTAGCCTGGGTGCAGATGGAGGGGGTGGTGGTGCTGTGTGAGCCGCTAGATGCCAATGAGCTGTGGTGATGCCCTTTGGGTAGAGCTGGAGAAGCGGGGCCTGGCCTGGAAGAGTTGGCTTTCACAGCAGGAGCAGCGCAGGCAGGCTGGCTGTGCTCTATCTTAACCTGGACTCCACGTTTGGGGCCGGGGCAGGTGTCCTGGAGCCCTGGGACTTTGTCAGAGGTCTCTGGGTTTGGGGCTGCGGGGGACTGGGCGTCAGGGGCCATGTTGGCAGTTGCAGCGCTGCAATGAGGAGGCAGCCGCTCCTCTCTGGCTTTCTTGGCCAGCCTCCCACCAGGCAGGAAGAGGGAGGCAAGACCTGACCTCTTGCCCAGCTGGGCCCCGGCCCGCGTGGAAGCAAAGCGACAGGAGAGGCCGTTCTGGCCAGAGCCAGGCTTGCCAGCAGCCTGCCCGCTTGCCATGGGCCTCTCAGAAGAGGGGTGCCATTGCTCTTGTGAGGGCTGACGGGAGCCCTGGGCAGCGAGGCCCCCCCTTGAAGGACTCAGAGCTCAGTACCTGAGACGCCTTCGGGGGCTTGGGCGATGTTTCTCCATCCCCAGCGGCCTCCTGGCGCGGTCTCTTGCGCTGTGGATCAGAGTCGGAGTCCTGGTGGTCCGCAGCCATGGTCTTGGTCTTCCTGTCTTGGAGCACCTCGGTGAGTGTGTGGTGGTCCCCCGAGTGCGGGTGGCTGCTGGAGGGCGCAGACTTTGCGCAGGAGTCGGTGGTGTGCGCCTGCGCTGGGGGAGGCGAAGGTGCGCTGTGCTGAGCGGGCATCCTCGGGGTCAGCGCGCTGCACAGTCTCCTGCTGAGCGTCTGCAGGGGAGGCTGGTTCCAGCACACAGCAGCCAGCGGCCCCAGCAGGGCACGGCGGGCCTGCTGCAGCAGATAGCGTCTCCGAGGCGAGCTGAGCACACGCCTGGGCCCAGCGGCAGGATGCCCGCGGGATGGCCTCTTGCCGGCTCTCAGAAGAGAGATGGGCGCCCAGGAGGACAGCAGGGGGATGCTCTTGGAGGCCGAGGGCTCCTGAGGGCCAGCAGGTGCGTAACGCTCAGTGCCGTCCTGGGCCGGGCTGTCCACAGGCAGGGATAGGCCAGTTTTGTCCAGAAAGGCGCCCATGACGCCGGTTCAGAGGCTTTGGAGCTCTGTGATCAGAGTCCTTGGCTCTGGGATTTCGTTTTCCCGCCAACTCGGTGAGTCGCAGGCAAATCGAATGAGCAACGTTCACGAATGCCGCGAGCCACCAATGACGTCCACGGGTGTCAGCGCTGGAGCTTAGACAGGGCTCGCGCCATGGGAGTGGGGCCTCTCCCAGCAGACCCAGCAGCCTCCAGCCTCACCCTCCCGCGCAGGACAACCAGCAAGTTAGGTGCCAGAAGTGAGTACCAGGTACAGCACCAGGAACAGCAGTAGTTGTAGCAGAAATAATTATGAGTAACAGGCTGAGCAGTGTCAGGCATAGAGCCAAGTACAGGACCAGGGCTAGAGTTATTCAAGGTTAACTTGCAGTCAGCCTTTATCCTCTTGATACTATTTTCTGCCTGGATGTAAAGAAATACTAGACTTTTCCTGTCCTTGCATTTCTTTATTTGGCATCAGTGATATGTATCACAATCTGACTTGGTGCTTATTCATCATAGAAGTACTTTCTTTTTTTTTTTCTAGCCTCATGGAAAATTTTCTAGGCTGACAGAGCTGTGTTTAATTATACACAAGGACATAAACCAGTGGTGGTAGTCTAAAACATACTTTCCACCACACAAGGACTAAAAGAAAGAAATATTGAAAAGGCAGTTGGAATAGCAGCAGTAGACACCTAGCTGAAGGCTTCAGCTTCCACACAGGAGTGGTTTCTCTAAAGCCTTCCATAAAAGTTCAGCACTTCTCAAGTGGACAAGAAGGACCTTCCTATGCACTGTTCAACAGCACTGCACTATGTGACAGAGACAGAGACTGGTGCAGAACAGAGAAATCAAAGGATAACTTGTAGAAACAGGAAACCTGAGAATGTTGGGTCTGGGCATTGTAGTGCATGCCCAGGTATTTAGGAAAGATCAGTAGGAGTGTGATGATTCAAGACCAGACTGGGCAAAAGTGTGAGAGGCTAGCTGGGGGAAAAATCCTAAAAACAGAACTAGAGGAAGTGGCTAAAATGGTAGAGTACTTGCCTAGTAAGCCCAAGTTTCTGTGATCAATTCCCTAAGCAGCAAAATATATGTGTATGTATATATGTGTGTGTGTGTGTGTGTGTGTGTGTGTGTGTGTGTGTGTGTGTGTGTGTGTGTGTGTGTATATGTTTGTATATGGAGAAAAGAAAAATTTATTTATTTTATTCCCAGGTAAATCACATGACATGATCACTAGACATGGAGACATACCATATAGTTTAAAAAGTCAGTTTCCCAGGAACACACAATAGAACAGATGTAAAGATTTATAATTCAGGATGGATAACTAGACAGAATTAAAATATAAGCGAAATCGTGATGAGCAGGAAATTGTAATAGTTTATTTTTCATTGTTATACCGGTTCAATGTGAATAAATAACAGCTATAGACAGTCCCTGACTTACCATGCTTCAAATGTTCATTGAGATGCCTTAATTCTTTTTTTTTATTGTGAAAATACTGTACAGAGGGGTTACAATTACATGGGCAAGATAGTGAGTACATTTCTTAACAAGCATTGTAGCCTCCTCCTTTGTTTACCCTTCCCATCCATAAGTTCAGTTGCCTAGCAGTACTATGGGCATATTTGTTCTAGGTTTTCGTTAACGAGTTTATTGGGGTGAAACTCCTTTAAAAGTTGAACAGCATCTCTTTTTTTTTTTTTTAAAGTAGAATATGTTCATTGTTGATCTGAAATTCAAGTTTAACTGGGCTTTCCTCTTTTCTTTCCTTCTTAGGAAGACAAACAATACTCTTCTAAAAACATTGGCTATTCTCATTCAAGCAGAGTCAGAAATTAGCATAGAACAAAGCAGTCTCTTATAACTCAGCAGTCTTCCTGGGAACATATGATAGGACACTAAGCAGCAGTAGAGAATGGGGCATGGTGAACATTGACTTTTTACTTAAATATTTATGATGATATACATACAAATATGTAAAAATGAAAGAAAATCCCCTTTTAGAAAACAGAGAACATCCAGAACATGTGAGAACACTTGAGGACACAGGGCCAGATTAGGTTTTCCAGGCTGCCCAAGGAAGGAGTTGAGGATCAAGTTTTGTTTTTCTGGCTACATGAATCATATGAACATTTTCACATAGCTGTGATATTTCTATTGACAAAATAAATCATAGTGAAAATGTACAACAAAAATAACAAAACGTACCAATTAGAGTGTAAACAATTCCAGATCACGAGAGACTTTCATCAGCCACAACTTATAATGTTTAAATCTCTGTCCTTACACACAGATTTTATGAAGTAGTGTATAAACCTTTTCAAAGCACAATTTAACTAAACAATCTCCTTAGCCCACAAAAGTATCATCTTCATGTTTCATTTCCTTAACAAAATAGAAATCAAAAATTTAGGTAGTCTGTAAAAAGTAAAAAAGTTTGTGACAGGGAGTATTAACTTAAACTCGTCCTGATCTGCACGGATATTTTGAAGTATAGCACTTTCTGAGAGAAATAAATACAATCTACTTTGGATCCACATAACTCTGGTAACTTTGTTACAAAAAAACAAGGCAAGGATGTTGTGCATAGTCAGGTCAATATTTGAGGATTTTATAATATAGTATCTATTAACCATATACTTAGTCATGATAAGCCAATGAATAAATCAGAGATACTAGAAAAAAAGCATAATTTCAAACTTAATAACAGAAGACACATAAGATCCTTTGATATTTTTGTTCATTTACCTGAAAAAGAA